GATATTTTTTCTTATTGTAAAAGATGTATGTGTAAACCAACCAATAATTTTTATTCGAAGAGAAAATTAATCCAAAAACTTTTCTCAATAATTTTTATGTTTAAATGTCTGTTGTGATTTTAAAATTTTAACATCATCTCTTATGTATAAAATCGCCCCACCTGTACTTCTACTATTACTATCTACTCTCTCCAAGCTATAACCATCAATATGAACCTCCCCATCCAGAATTTTTTCTGTTAAGCAAGTTTCAGACAATGCTATAACTACTGGTGATCTACTTAAACTTAAATATATATAATATGATGGCTTTTAAGTGTAATCTGTCTGACATTCATCTTGACTCCTCAAACATCGGTAGTTGTGAACAGAGTAAATTTCTGGGATTACACATCGATAAATCCTTTAAGTTCGAGTATTATGTCATGGGGGTTGCAGACATCAGACAGGTATCTGGTGAGCTTGGTGAGGCTACTGCAAGGTCCACCTATTTTACATTGGTGCAATTTCATTTGCAATATTGCATTAACTTCTGGGGTTCATGCAGCGAGTACCTCTTCAATTCGATTTTTGTGCTGCAGAAAAGAGCAGTGCGTTACTTGTGCAGCGTCTCGCCATCAGAATCTTGCAGGCCGCTGTTTGTCTCTTGTAGGATTCTGACGTTTCAAAAACGCCTTAATACGAACGCTTGAAAACGAAAAAGGACGTTTTTCAAAGATCTCTATGAACATTCACTTGACTCCCTTCAAAGTATCCAACATCATCCAATAGACTTATTTTATATGTAGTGCAAATATCACAGTTACAAACAACCTTTTTAAAACATCTTATTGGAAGTATTGGAACTAATTTCCGAGTGTGTGGACGTGGGATACATGTTTCAAATGGTGTTCCCGAAAACGACCAACAGAAACCTTTATAAAACGTCTCTCATGACTTTTCATGGAAACATAAGTACACTTTTACGAACTCATAAAAAACATTCTGACGTTCTTTAATTGTTCCTAACAGAGGTTTTAAAAACAAATTAATCAAACGTCGTCTAAAGAACATCCTTTCTTTACCTTCTTAAAAACACGTCGTTTACAAAAAAATATGTAGTCCAAGTTATGTGTTAAAATACATGGATTCAAAATATCTAAAATGGCGATATCTCAAAAAACGGCGAAACTTTGCCTGAGGGTAAATATGGTCAAACAGCTTCCAAATGACCCCAACTATCATTCATTAAATCTTCCTATCGATGTACTAAACACCCTGTATAATTGGTTCACTGTTCGATTTATATTTCCCAACTTTTTTTAAGTCGTTGGTTCCATTTTCTATTAATTTTTTTTGTTATTGCATGGTATGAATTTGCCGCCCCTGGATCGTGCCGCCATGGGCGGCCGCCCATCTCGCCCCCCCCCTTATGCCGGCCCTGCCAAAGTCTAATGTAGAAACAGTCCAATAAGAATGTAAAAGTTGCACCTAGGTGACTGAACACCTGTATGAGCCACAAGATTTAACTCTAAATTCATAACTTATGCTAAAAAAAATAGTAATGATAATAATATTGCCTAATCCGCTACATTAAGTCAATAACAACCCTAGTAAATGAACCAAAAAGATCAATCAATACAATAACCACCCAAGAAACTTCACAAATAAAAAAAAATTGAAGAAAAAAATACAAATCAAAAAGAAGTGAACATATACTACGGCTCAAGCATAAGGTAAAGAAAAGAAGTCAAATGTTCACATCAAAAATAGGGCCCTGAAACTGTGCAGATTATCAAAAATAAATTTTCCACACTCAATATTGAATCTTTGTCTTGACAGAGTCCTAACTTGTAGAGGCAACATGTTGTATAGTTTGAGTCGTTTGAGAGCTAGGTAAGTATATATCTTTCCTTTTATTTCCCAACAAACTTAACGCTTATTACAGGGAAAAAAAATAAAATAAATAAATTTAACAACCATAATAATTGAATAAAAAAAATAATTTGATTCAAATAAAGCCTTGATTAAAATATGATAAACTTTTATATAATAAAAAATGATATTATCAAATAGTCAATTAAATTGAAGAAAATGTTTTTTAATGTATATTTTGAATAAATTCAAAGGTTTTATATTTTTGATGTTTTCTGGTAAATCATTGTATATTTTTATGCCTGAATATAATAAAGATTTTTTGCCAATATTGGTTCTGAATTGTAATAATTTAAAATTTTTATTTTTTCTAGTTGCATAATTATAGAAATTTTCATTCTTTTGAAGGTTCAAATTTGATATTTTCTTTTTTGTTAATAATGCGTGAATAAATATTGAAATTTTCAATTTGTATAACTTATGTAAGCTCAGATAACCAAGGGGTTTATATAAATTAGTAGTTGGTTCTAGATACGGAAGTTTATGAATGCACTTAATAATTTTGTTTTATAGTTTTTAAATTGGTTTTAATATTGAGTCATTTGCAAATCCCCATATCGAAACCAGATATTGAATTTTTGAATGGAATAGTGCATAGTAAATGTTTTTCAAATATTTTAAAGGAATGTAGTACCTCACTTTATATAATACGCCAACTAAAGGAGATAAACTTTGTAACATGTTGTTTAATATGTTCTTTTCATGTTATATTTTCATCTATATAAAGTCCCAAAAATTTAATTGAATTTTTATACTGTATGTTATTGTCCTCAAATTTTATCGGATTTTTTTGCTCAACTGAAATTATTTTTTTATCAACAAACATGTAAAATGATTTTTCAAAATTTATAGTCAGTTTATTTGCCTGAAGCCAATTTTGCAACATTTTTAAATCATTTGATAGTAGATTATACCACGAGTTAATAATGATAGCTATTATTCCCGAGGATTATTACGAACTGAGCCGCGTTAGCGACGAGGGAGTAACATTCCGAGGGAATAATAGCCATTATTGCGAGTAGTATACTCTACTTTATTTACGACAAATTAATTTATTTGAGATTTTCAATGAACAAATTTCATCCGTCTCATAATTTTCAATACAAATCCACAAGCACTACACGTTTGACACTGACACTTTTGTGGAATAATGACCATTAATCCCGCTACTCGTCATTAATCCCTGGAGGAATAACATATGTCATTATACTGCCAAAATCACAAATATAATACGCACATTGTACATTAGTCGTAAATAAAATATTTGATTTTATATTGTCTATATCTCGGTCTATATACAGGGTGTCCCACGGTGGATGGCGTATTAGACGTTTATGGAGAACTAAAAAACGGATCATTTTGAAAATTTGGCAACCGGGATAAACGACCATGATCTACACTTTAAAAATATTTTTGACCATGCGGTGTTGCCGCTTCTACTCTAAACTAGTGGCAGCATCGCTAGTTTAAATAGAACACCCTATATCTGATTGCATATTTGGATTCTATGTAAAATTCTGAGCAGATTTCATGTGATATACCCTATACCTAAGTTCAACTGTTTTGGAAATATTGACAGTTGAAAATTGACTTTTTGCAACTTTGACAGGCTGTAAAACCTGAACGGTTAATTCTAGAGGAAAACCGATTTTACATTCCTATCTTAGATTTTGATAAACTATCATTTGGCACCAACTTTGAACTTAACCGGAGATTAAATTTAACTGAAATTTTTAATCATGGATTTAATTCAAAGTTGGTGTCAAATGATAGTTTATAAAAATCTAAGATAGGAATGTAAAATCGGTTTTCGTCTAAAATTAACCGTTCAGGTTTTACAGCCTGTCAAAGTTGCAAAAAGTCAATTTTCAACTGTCAATATTTCCAAAACAGTTGAACTTAGGTATAGGGTATATCACATGAAATGTGCTCAGAATTTTATGTAGAATCCAAATATGCAATCACATACGGGGTGTTCCATTTAAAATAATGATGTTGCCACTAGTTTAAAGTAGTAACCAAACGCCATTTTTATGTATTTATGACAAGTTTTCCTGACTTCCGGTTTCACCGTAAATGACCGGAACTTTTGATTTTTAAATGGCACACCCTGTATATTTTCTGCTTTTCGGATTTTACAGATCGTTTTACGTCCTAATGCACCACTTTTGAATCAAGTTTTGTACAAATTTTATTTTTAAACTTGGGGTGCTTCTTGCAAGACACAGAAATACATAATTAAGATTATGTTATTCAAAAGCAAACTTTGCTCCACAAAGATTATATTTGAGGAAGCAAAGTTATTGAATTTAAGGCAACTGTATATAAAAAGTATTATAAAATTTAGCTTTAGAAATAAAAAATACGTTAATTATATAAATCACCATGAAATAGGGACAAGGGCAAAAATTAATAATAATATAAATTTACCTAATACTTCGTTTTCATCTGCACAAAGACATATCTCCTACATCTTGCCAAAGATTTATAATATTCTCCCATCTCAACTAATACAAAAGACTAATAATTATACCAAAACGAAAAATACTTTGGATTCATGGATTGTAATCAACTATGATAACATCTATAAACAAATCCCTTATTTTTAAATTTTAAATTTTTGAACAGTGAGATTGTGAATGTTAAATATTAAAAATGTCAACTTCAATTCTGTATTGAGTAAAATTTTGATTGTATAAGACTTAAAACTTGACTAATTACCACAGCATAATGTAAACCGAAATTAATGATGTACTTATATAATTACTATGGTGCACCCACAGACGATGAGTCTACTGTGCCCCTGAACTGTTATTATTATTGTATCATATTGTGATAATTATCTTATCTTTTCTTTGGAAATAAACCTTTTTTTGATTTTTTTTTTGAGTTTGAACACAGTTTTGTTATAATTGTTGACTGGCTGATCACATCTTAGCAAAAAATCTAAGAAAATATCAATGCAGTCTCCAATATTTGATTTTTTTTTTCAATAATCATTAAATAGGCTCAATTTAGGGGCATTTTTTTCTTGGTAGCAATAATTATTATTGATTAATTGATGGAAATCTACATACTTCCTTCAGGTGAATGATGGCCGAGGAACTTTCCAATGGAGATATTTGCAGGGTGTGTAGATCGGAAGGCGGCTCGGACAGACCCCTTTTCCATCCCTGTATATGTACTGGTAGTATCAAGTGGATCCATCAAGAATGTCTTGTGCAATGGATGAGGTAAGAAATAATGTTTCAACCCTGAGAAAACTCAAAGGATAATCAGTTGTTTTGATTTCCTTATCCATTTAATTTGTAATACTGATAGAAAACTACATATCATTCACTAGGTAGCCAATCCTTAAAAAAAAACATTTTGCTAATTAATTATTTCAAGAAGTCAATCTCTTAAACATTTCCAAGCAAAATATTTCATTCCAGGTACTCAAGAAAAGAATATTGTGAACTATGCGGGCACAAATTCTCATTCACGCCAATTTACTCGCCTGACATGCCCAGAAGACTCCCAGTAAAAGATCTGATCTCTGGTCTACTCTCATCAGTAGCCACTGCTGTGAAATATTGGCTGCATTACACCTTGGTGGCCATAGCTTGGCTCGGACTTGTTCCTTTGACAGCTTGTAGGATTTATAGGGCTCTCTTCGCAGGTAACCATTTTCTTCTTGAGAAAATTTAATCACAATAAGCATTGATTTTTAGGTACAGTGGATGCCATCCTCACACTACCATTTGAAATGTTGTCCAGCGAAAATATTGCAGGGGATATATTTCAGGGCTGTTTGGTCGTGTGCTGCACTTTGTTTGCTTTTGCTGGCCTCGTATGGCTTAGAGAGCAAATTTTACATGGAGGAGGTAATAATGTGTATTTTCTCTAGTTAAATCAATAGACTTACCTTAATGTGATCTTCTCAATAATGTGAAATTAATTTTTTTGTAAAGATCATCTATAAAAACTAATTAATTTGTTCTATTTGCTATGCAGGTCCTGATTGGTTGCAAAGGGACGACATAGTTCCTGCAGCCGGCGACAATCCAGCTCTTGTTCTGCATAATATTCCAGAAGAAATGCAAGATAACGAAGAAGATAACGTTCCAGTTGCTGAACAAGGTAAACCTTTATTGTTTCATAGATTGCTGCTATAACAAACAGAGTTTTTAGAGCCGATCCAAGAGAACGCAGATCAACAAGATCAGGAAGGCAACGTCGGGGAAGACAATAACTGGATCCCCATGGAATGGGACCGGGCAGTCGAAGAAATCACTTGGGAACGTCTTTTAGGCTTGGACGGTTCTCTAATGTTCTTGGAACACGTTTTTTGGGTCATTAGCTTGAACACGCTCTTCATTATCATATTCGCTTACGCTCCCTACCACATGGGCGTCATCACTTTAAATTTGTTTAATTTAGAAGAATACGCATCTGAGAGCCATTTTGAGGGACTTTTAACTACTCTTGTCGGTTATAACACTGTTGGCTTATTATTTTTAATTTTACATCGAATATCCGCCTGGCTAGGATTATTTACAGCCAAAAGAGTCCTGGGGCTGTGTTATGTTGTCGTCAAAGTGTCCATGCTTTCTGTAATAGAAATCGGAATTATTCCTTTGGTTTGTGGTTGGTGGTTGGACGTTTGCTCCTTGAACATGTTTGAAGCTACTTTAAAAGACCGTGAGCAGAGTTTTAGAGGAGCTCCAGGCACTTCCATATTTCTTCACTGGCTCATTGGAATGGTTTACGTCTATTATTTCGCCTCCTTTATATTATTGCTAAGGGAAATTGTCCGGCCGGGTGTTTTATGGTTTCTAAGAAACTTTAACGATCCAGACTTTAGTCCAATACAAGAAATGATTCATTTACCAATATTGGAGCACATAAGGAAACTTATAGTTTCCGCAGTAATATTCGGAAGTGCCGTGCTATTAATGTTGTGGCTTCCCATTAAAATAATCCGACTTATTTTGCCGACATTCCTTCCCTACATCGTTTCCCTGAACAATGAAAGTCAAGTGAATGAGCTCAGTTTAGAGCTCCTGCTACTCCAAGTCATATTGCCAGCATTATTGGAGCAATCCCACACTAGGGTCTGGTTGAAATCCATTGTACGATGGTGGTGTAAAGTGATCGCCTGGGTGTTGGATTTGCATTCGTATTTATTGGGCGATCAGGTGGAGGACAATGCAAGAAACGACGGAGAGAGGCAAGGAAATGGTGTCGGGGATGCTGCCGCTGGTAATTTGGGTGCTGTGCATCAGGCTCTGTTTTTGATGGAACCGCCAACAGGTAAAATGTTCTACTTATTATATTGTATGTACTGTCTGCCAATCCTTTTAATGAATATAGCATAATTTTGGTAATAACTAGTAAAACCAGTTCTAGAAACGTTAAAAATTATTCAATTCACAGCGGTTGGTATTATCAAAGGAGATGAAGCAATAAGCCGTACACTGACAAATCACTTTCCTACAGTTGAAATTTGAAAAGAGTGTTTATTCTTATAAATCCTATTCCTAACTCTACTAAAGATGAAAAAAGTTAAAATAGGCTCTCGGAAACGTAAAAATGCCTCCGGTTGACTACATAATATGGCATATTAAAGTCCCCGCAAAATACAATATGGCATAATAAAGTCCCCGCAAATTCATATCGGCACTTCATACGTTTGCATAATCAAATCCACTGTTGTACAGGGTGGCCCATCTTTTTATTAATCAAGAATCAAGATATCCAAAAACGAAAAATACTGTTTATAGGCAGTTTTTCAAGGAGAATCCAGTGGCATGACCATTTTTTCTCCAGATTCCTCCGATTTTGGAATATTAACCAAAGTTGTGTTTTTTTTTAAATGGGACACCCCGTATATTATTTTTTTATTGAATAGCTCTTTGTGAGTTGATTTCAATGATATAAGGCCGCGTTAATGGTCGCCATGTTTAAATTGTGATTGGTTGATTTTTCGGAACTTGTTTTAAGGTCTTTAAAAAAACGGCACATCAGAATTGGCTCAAAGGACCCCGCAATATTTAAATGGAAATTGGTTACCCGTGATATTTGAATGAAATTTAAATATGTTATTGGGGATGCCGTAAGCAACATTTTTTACCCTGGGCACAACCCTGTATATATGACAGGTGAGGCGTGGTTAGCTGTCAAATATTGGAATCTGATATCCAAAAGCAGAGTAACTATGGCAGATTTTGATGAACAAAAAATCTATTTCTACTAAGTCGACCAAGTTAAGTCGAAAAATGTCAACCCTTTTAACACCTGTCAAAACCCTGCCAAACGGCAGCACTCATCTTTTCCAGTTTTCAATATTTTATGTTCTCATTTGACATTTTTAACTATTGTGTAAATTCTGAATTCAAAAATTAAAAAAAAAAACGACAGCTGTCAAAATGTGATGTGCATGAACTTTGTTCAATATTTTATCACCAATAAACTACCTTACAATGAGAAAGGACCAGATTAGAGTATTTATTCTACTAAAACAAATGACAGGTTTTGACATTTCTGTCATTTTTTTTTTCAATTTTTGAATTTAAAATTTACATATAAGTTAAAAATGTCAAATGACAACATAAAATATTGGAAACTGGAAAAGATGAGCGCTGCCGTTTGGCAGGGTTTTGACAGGTGTTAAAATGGTTGACATTTTTCCACTTAACTTGGTCGACTTAGTAGAAATAGATTTTTTGTTCATCAAAATCTGCCATAATTACTCTGCTTTTGGATATAAGATTCCAATATTTGACAGCTAACTACGCCTCACCTGTCATATATACAGGGTTGTGCCCAGGGTAAAAAATGTTGCTTACGGCATCACCAATAACATATTTAAATTTCATCCAAATATCACGGGTAACCAATTTCCATTTAAATATTGCGGGGTCCTTTGGCATAAACATTATTTGACAATTCCTTATTTTGGTTTTTCGATATTCAGCCTTTTTTTTAAATTCAAAAATCATGTTCGCAACCACCAAAACAATTAAATGTGTTGGTGGTTGCATATTTGCATGTTTATCAAACTTGGATCCGTGAAAAGCATATTTTATTGATTACCACGAAAAAATAAAAAAAGCTAATTGTAGAGATTGTAGATAATATATCAAATAATGTTTATGCCAAAGGATTTTGGAAATTATTGCGGATTTTTTGAGATGACCTTGAAACGAATTTTGAAGGTGAAAACAGTTCAAGCAATTTCAAGTAGATGGCGCCACGGCAAAAAAGCTACATTGGGAGCATCATAATTGTATATTTGTCTTTCTCTGTCACTAAGTGTTTCACCGACAAACAGATTTTATCTGGACAAATAATAAAAGATTGAACCCTATGTGTAGAGTGCAGAGATATGGGACAGTTGTTAGTTAGAATAGAATAAGGGTCCATCCTGCGCAACAGCGCAACTGGCCGAATTTGAAGGACCGCCATTTTTATCACTTGTCAAATTAAGTGTTGGAAAAATAGGCATGAACAACTCATAACTTCAAAAATAAGCAGAAATAACAAAACGAAATCTTTTAAAACACCGTTCTGATAAAAATATCTCAGAAAAAACAGGAAAAGTCGTCAAAAACAACAATCTGTAACCGACCAAAAGTAAGGTTATATTGTGAAAAATTTGTCAGATTGAAATTGTCAACGTGAAGACCAATGGCGTTTCTGAGTGGTAGATTTAATGCGCACTGAGTGTATTCTCATCCTTTTTCATCAACCTGTAGAAGATAAAGACAGAAATAAATAAAAGTGCACTAGATCTACTAATTGGAAACGGCATAAGCTAAAAGTGATAAAAATGGCGGCACCCTATGCGTTACCATAAAATCGGATGCGCAGTCGTCTAAGCTCATTCTATTTCCCTCACATATCTCTGGTAGAGTGACACAGTTTTTCCAAAACTATTAAAGGTAAAGGTATAAAACCTTATATCATTGAAATCAGCTCACAAAGAGCTATTCAATGAGAAAATAATATATGGGGTGTCCCATTCAAAAAAACACAACTTTGGTCAATATTCCAAAATCGGTGGCATCTGGAAAAAAAATGGTCATGCCACTGGATTCTATTTGAAAAACTGCCTATGGAAAGTATTTTTCGTTTTTCGATATCTTAAATAATAAGGAAATTAGAGTCTTTTAAAATTGGACAAAATTTGAAAAGTGCCCCGTATTTCCTAAATGCATCAAGTTAGCCGTGATTTGTCTTCGTCAGTTATTTTCCCAAAAATAGAGCTCGAGAATGTGCTCCCAGATTTTTGATATCCCTGCTGGTTTTCGATGTAGCCCTATTAAAACATCGAAAATGGGATAGGCAATCTCAATCACGGGATTTTTTAATGGCCGTTCGGTCAAATATTGCGGTGACAAGCCGGTGACGTTCATAAGGAGAGCATTTGTGTTCTGGCCCTTGTTGCTTTCGAAGTGAATTTTATGTGTTTCTACGTATTTTTCATTGGTTTTGGTCATAATATGTATTATTGTTTTCATAGCGAATTTTATAGTTTTCAGTAGGTATTTCTACGTATTTTTTAGTGTTCTGGCCCTTGTTTTCAAAGTGAATTTTATAGTGTTTATAGTGTTTCTACGTATTTTTTAATTTAATAATTAATTCTGAGATGGAGAGTAATTAGAGTGAATATCTTGAAGTATTAATATTGAGGGAAAATCGAGCCTCTGTTAGATCCTTTCTTTTAATTGCAGCAATCCATAAAGCCCTGCTTTATTTTGAAAATTCATTTTTGTAGATCAAAAGCCGATGATTTAAAATAGCAGGAACTGAATAAAATTTCACATTATCCCTGTTACCTCAACTTTCACACCCAATTACGATGCAAATTGCTGGCATTTTAATTAACACAATACCTAAACACACAAAAAAACACAAAATCCGATAATTCAAATCTTTACGTTTGTCCAGAATGTGACAGAATTAATGACATACAGAATAAACAACACAGTGCTTGACGGCTTGACCCAATAGCCAGCCACACACGAAAAGTTTAAAACGCCCGTAGATGCGGGGCGTTCCTGATGTACGTCATGCTTGGAACGGCACGCATATGAGCTTCTTTGCCCACAAACGTTCAAAAACTACATGCGGGTTTAACCTACAGATTTTAGTCTGACATTCCAAAGTGTTTTGTTAATGGGTTAGAAGTGTCTTAAATCGGAAAGATTTGGAACGGCATCTGGCATTTTAAAAATTCTAACAGTTTTGCTAAGAGTGTGTGAATTTTACGAGGTGTACTGTTTTTGTAAATTCACTAGTAATTATGTTTTTACTCAATAGAAAGAAAAGAAAAGGTATTGCATGTGCTATGCTGTATGCATATTCTTTACAATTAAGTCAAGAAAAGAAAAAACGATCCACTTGATCAAAAAAATGGTTGGAAGAAAGGGCAATATATGGTCATATATCACTTGTATGGAACTTGGAGGAAACAATCCATATAATTTTCGAAATTATCTTAGAATGGATTGTGCAACATTGAACCATCTTTTTAAGTTACTAGAATCACATTTAAGTACTTAACGACTGTCACCCATATCGGAAATAAATTTGAAATTCCAGAAAAAGAACAAGAAACTACGTTTATGTGCAATTAACCCTTGCACGTGCGATTTGCGCGCCAAATTTGCCAGAACGCGCAAAACTTGTTATTGTGACACTCCACTAACTGACACTTCTCTTGCAACTTTTGGAACGGCACATTCCAAACTCGCGCGCCGAAATATTCGTGTGTGGCTGGCTAATAGGGCAAGTACACGATCTGACAGTTTGACACTATTGACAGTCGCCTTGAGGTAAAACCTTGTAAAACAAAGATATATTTACAGTGGTTTTTTAGGTTTTTAGTTACATTTTTTTAATTAAATACCTTTTGTGTGGTCCAGAAGTTTCTTGGACATGCCTAGAGTTTGTTTAGTTGTTAATTGTGGCAGTATAGCGCAAGGGATACAATATCCTTCCATAGGTTTCCATCAATTTTAAATAACAATGGGAGGTTTGATTTGTTAGCTCAAGAAAGAAGAGAAAAATTGATTAATGTTGTTAAAAGAGAAGATCTGACAAAAAATTAGTTCGAATTATAGAGTAACTATACTTATATATTTGTTCTTGTGAAACTTGGTTTTTATATTTGTTGGAAAAACCCTGAATTTAATCCATTATAGAAAAACCTAGCAAACTTCTGGATAAAAGACCACATAGACTGGAACATAAACACTTTACTTTAACTTTTTTAAAACAAAATAACACAAAAACTTGCAAAAAAGCTG